ACATGTGATTTGATAAGTTTTGAGACATGTGAACATCATCAAATTATCAGCACAATTAAGAGACTGAACATACTCTTGCCTCCAAAGAACTTTTCTTGCTGCCCTTGGTAATCCGTCCTTCCACTGGCAACACTGATCTGCTTTCTGTCAAGATATTTGGACTTGGAATTTTCTTTTGGAGAAAGTTATTTTTTTTTTCCTTTAAACAAATTCAGTATTCTTACTAGCTTCTAGACCCAGCTACTCAGTGTTTTTCATGAGTGAGCTTTGCAAGATTCCATATTTGAGAGAATTTGTGTGTTGCATTTAAGATGTTTGAGAGCATAAAATTACTCATCTTGTTTATTTTTGTTGTGTCTTTGAGTTCAGTTCTCTTTTACCTAATATTGTTCATTTATGTGTCTTCTCATTTTTTCCTGATGGATTAATTTGCTTTAGGTGGTGTAACAAATTAGGACAGATTTGGCTGTTTAAAAGTGAGATTTTTGTTCTCTCATAGTTATGGTAAACAGAAGTTCAAAAGTAGCTTCCTTGGGTTTAAATCAAGTTTTCACTAAGTCCATATTCTTCCAGAGTCTTGGGGATGATTTCTTCCTTGTCTTTGTCAGTTTTGAGGCAGCTAGCATTCCTTTATTGTGACTCTATCAGTCTGTTCTCTGTATCTTCCATTCTGTGTAGACCTTGCTATACTGCCTAACAAGAATATATGCGATTGCCTTAAGGGCTAACTCAGAAATCCAGGATAATTGTCTCATCTCAAAATCCTTAATTATATCTAAAAATTCTATCGTAAGTTTCACAGGTTCCAAAAATTAGGGGACACATACTGTGGAGAGGCTGACTATAGTCGGACTAGAAGCATACTTATTTTGATCTTGTCACGAAAACAGCTTTTGGACAGTCTTTTCTTTCTTCCTTCCTCTTTTCTGTTTCATGGATTCTCTACTTTTATGATTGTAATATTCTTAACTTGTACTTCGGACTCATTTGCTTATCATTTTGTGGTTTCTTCAGGTCGAAGTTGAAGATATTGCTACAAAATATTCCTCTGTTTTGTTTAACCTTGATCCCTCCCAATATCTTCTTTTTAGTGTTGGTGTTGAGCTATCAGTGGCTCTACTACTGAGCTATATCACTAGCCTTTATTTTTTACTTTTTTATTTTGAGCTAGAGTATTGTTCAGTTTCCTAAATGAGCCTTGTATTTATAATCCTGTAGCCTCCAAAGGATTACTGCTGTGTACCACCCAGCCACAAATTTTTATATGTTGTATTTTCATATGCTACCATATTCTTTCTAATTTTTATTATGTCTTTGATCCTTAGAACTGTATTATTTCCAGTGTGAGGAGCTTGTACCTTTTATCTGTTGACTTGAATTCTTTTATATTAATTGAGACTAGTTTTACAGCTCAGAATTTAATCATTCTTGGGTAAATGTTTCAATACATTAAACATTTATGGTGTATCCTGGTTATTTAGTGAAATAACTGTTTAAATATCAGTTACTAGGTCAAATTTATTGGCAGTATTGTTGAAGTCTATATCATTGCTGATTTTTAAACTACTCCCCCAGTTATTGAGAAAACAATGACACAGTATTAGAGTGTCATTGTAAATCCATTTCTGTTTGCAGTTGCAGTTTTGGGGCATATATTTTAAAGCTCTTTATGGTGTGTAAACATTTAGGATGATATTTCTTCTTGATGAATTGAGTTTTCTCTCATTACAGTTATATTTCCGTATCTTTTACAGTCCTGGTAATTTTTACTTTAAGATGCCAGATGTTACGAATTTTATCTTACTATAGAGCTTTTTTCTGTTCTTCGTTGTAGCTACTGTACTTGGTAGAAATGAAGTCTTGCTTTCCACCTATTTTAAATGATACTCGGTGTTTAATTTAGAATTAAATTTGCCCCAATTTGCTGAGGTAAATTCTTTCTGAATACTTTTGCTTATGTTTTAGGTTGCTCACTTTAGTTGGTCGGAACAACTTTCCCCAACCCTATACAAGCTCTTGGGAATTAATTCTCTAATTATTTATAGTGATCTTTGCTTGTTAGTTTTCTCACTGGCGCCTACTATAACTTATTATCAGTACTCCAGGGGTACTCTAAAAAGCCCCAGAGTTATCAGTGTTTCCCTGAATCTTCGTTTTTCTTCTCTGCCCTGTGAACTTGAGCCTCCATGGCATCTCTGCATTGTGAGCTGCATCTCTTTATTTCAAGACCACCAGATCTTTCTGCTTCCCTCCTTATGCTGCAGCCTGGAAGCTTCTTTGAGACATTGAATGGGAACTGTTACATGGTTTACTCCATTTGTTTCCTGAATCTTGGGTGGGTGGGAGTGTTATCCATTACCATGAGAGTTACTGTAATGTGCATTTTTTGCCTGACCTCTATCTTAGGTGGAAATGGAAATTAAGAGTTGAGATTTCATAAATAGGGTTCTAGTACATTTTAAATTGTATTCCAAGCGCCAGTAGGAGGCTCAGCTCACACCAACCATCCTTGGGGATGGCTGCTTGGTAGGCTTTCTTCCTGCAGCCAGAGCACCATTACACTTGGAAAACTGTGGAGGTGATTGAGCAGCACAGTGACCTTAGGGTTCAGAAAGGTTTCTTGAATCGATTGTGTTACTGAGTGTATATTTCCAGTCTTCCATTTCTAGACTGCATTAGTTGGTTAGAGCTTTTAGTTTTTATTGTACGGAAGTTTCTGTATTTCAAAGACATAAATGTTTGAAAGAAAATCAAATGTAAAATGTTTTTATACACAAATTGTTTTTAATTACAAGCAGAATAGAAATATGTTAAGTAGAGCTTGTCATTTTAAGTTTTTACTTGTGAACATTCAGCCAATTAATGTTATTTTTTTCTGCCTCATAGCTTCTGTGATACAAAGATTAATGATAGTTTTTATTTGTTAAGTCAGTTTTGCTGCCTTATCAAGCTAGGTTTATGATTTTTAATGAAAGGAAATTCTTTAATTTTGTTTATACATAATTACATATGAAGCTGCTCTGACCAAAATTTATCCATTAAAAAGATTCAGTCTAATGAAAGAACTACGGTTATTTATTGTTAACAAGTCCAAACATGAGAAAATAAGGAAAAAAATTTAAAAACTGGGGAATAGGACACAGATGATATTTATGTTAGCTTATATTTTTGTATAAAGGTAAGTCAAAGTTTGATCCTAATCTGTCATAATTTTCTTTGTCTGTTTGCTGTAATTCCTATGCCCTAACCTGTTTATCAGCTCATAAAACAATTTAACAATAGATGTAGCTATGTAAAAATTGTAATAGGTTTCTTGCAGGTAGAAAGGGCATTTTCTCATCTCTGGACATTGCTAACAGCTAAAATAGGATTTTGTTTGGTTTGATTGTCAACTTAAAATTTTTCTGTGATACTCAAAGTAAATGATGATTTTGAAAGTTCTGTTTTAGGGAAAAGATAGATGTTTATCTAATGTTGTATGTGTGTCTTCTTTTGTGGCTGTGTTCGTGAGTCTGTCAGGAATTGATGGAGATATATTTCAACATCGTCACAGAAAGCTCTCTGTGTCCCTTTGTGCATAGCCTTCCTAATAATATATTTGGCTTCAATAGAAGTTGCTTGACTCTAAGATGATTTGGTGTGCTGAATCTCTCAGCCTGCCTGATAAATGGGTTGTCATTGTGTTTAGCTTTAGTGTTGAATGCCTGTGAGTGCTTCTCTAAATTAACTATCAATTAAAGGCAAAAACGTTTGCAGAAGTCAGGTTTTCTGATTGTGATCATACCAGGTATAGGTAGAATATTCTCAGCCCTGTAATGTTCAGTTCTAATTAATGTCCTGATTTTACATTCTGTTTTCACATTTGTGACAGACAATAGCATATTCTGTTCCATTTCAAACTAGAATATTAAATTTCTGGAAGATTCCTGAAAGAGTGAGACTTCTTGGGTTTTAATTTACTTGACTTAGTTTGCAGTTGAGCAACAAAGCATGGTCTCTAATTAAGCAGCCGATACCCTTTGTGGCCACAGCCCTTCACTCTGACAGCGGAAACAGCACATATCTTGGGAGCAGATCCTCACCCCATGTGCTGTGCCTGGTAAAGCTTAGCAGACATCTAAATGGAACCTTTCTGAGAACAGAGGTGGGGGGACATTTCTAGTAACTGTGCCCTGACAGCAGACACTGGTACAGGGAGTCATCATACTAAAGGCCTTGGTGGATCAGATCCACAGCTCTCTAGAACTAGTATAGTTTCAGTATAATCAAGGGATTTGCCATTTTCAAAACCTCTTTATGTTTTAAAATCATCATCAAATGCCTCTCTGAGTAGTAATCAGAATTTAGGCGTATCCCTGGGGGGGGGGGAAGGAGGGAGGAAGATAGGGGGGTGAGACAGAGAGAGAATGTGTATCTAAATCAACTTTAATTTTTTCCTATATTACCTTTTTAGTGACTTATTCATAATATCCAGTGTAATCATGAGTCTGATATGAAACCTAAATTCCTTACCTCGAGTCAAATAGAATGAATTTTGTTCCTTGTTTGTTTGTAATAAAATGCATTCTTTTGGTTAATTAAAGCAGTTTTCCCAATGACTTTGTAAGTTCCACATGAATAAATCTTAAATAATATTTAATTGCAAAGATGGTGAAAGAACAGAGCGCTTAATACGTACAGCTGGTGGGGGTTTAAGGAAGAGTAATTCTGACAATTCCAGTAGCATACATCTTCCTAGTATATATAAATACTGCTTTAACTTGAATTCTCTATTACTACTTTTGCAGTTTAAACTGAAAAAAAAAAAAAAACCCTACGTCTGTTTCAGAAACAATATGTTGCACTCAGATTTTTGTCAAAGTATATGCCTTCTATTTTTAAATGCCCAGTTGTATTGATTTCACTAGATTTGGGAACTTTTATCTTAGTGGGAATAATTACTATGAGAGCTAAAAATAATAGATGTGTCCTTTTTTGTTTTTCTTTCTTTTTTAAAAAAGCTGGACCTGTGATCTGCAGAATGCTGACTTATCCCCCAACTCGCCGAGCTTTAATTGTGGGTTGTGGTCTACAAATGTTCCAACAGCTCTCAGGCATTAACACCATCATGTATGTATTGCTTTCTGGCATTTTACTGATGAGACTATGAAGGAATTATTTTTCGTGGAGAAAGGAATAGGACTCTTGGCAATTTGTTACTATTAAATACATAGGAGTTGCCTTTTGGGAGATAGTTTATTCTACTTTAAATTCTGTCATACATAACTAGAAAGGAGTGATTTATTATGTTGTATTATTGGCTTTATTTCATATAATTTCTCTTTTATGTCATCTGGTACTTCTTTGTATTCTAAGCAATTACTTTTATAAACTGTTAATTCTGGTTAGAGAGTAAGATAAAAGGAAGCCACTTGGCATTGTCAAAGATTGTGGACACCTAAATAACTTGTTCATTTCCTTGTGGGGTATTATCTTGCAGTGTAATAAGAATGCTAATAGAACTATGATTATGCAACCAATTACTGTGGAAGGGAGATTGAATGAAAGAGATGGAAAAAGATAGAAAAATATTTTGTTTACTGGTTTTCGGAGCAACCAGTAGGGTGACTAGAGGGACCCTGCTGTTCGTCAGTCATTCAGTATTGAGTTCATTTTTGAGTGCCCACTTTCTGTCAGTTACATACATGTTACCTAGATCCAGTCACCCTGCTTTCTTTCACCCTGTACAGTCTTGTGAAAGACATACCCATGAAATAAACTCAGAGTTAAGTGCAGAATTTAAAACTGTGATAAGAGCTATACAGAGATGTTTTTCCCCCACAGCGTAGATTGTAGATCTAGATAAAAGACTATGGCTTAGGTCATGCTATATGTTTTCTGAAAAACTGATCACTGGGTGACAAACTGAGTCTCAGAAGTGTTTCCTTTCTGCTTATTGATTAAAATTACTCACTAGGAAATTTAAATTATATAAAATTAATTTACCCAGGCAAATCATTTGCATTTGAGACATGATATTTTCCCTTTAAATTACTTGGTCACATGATTTAGTGATAATATAAGAAGAGTGAATTGGTTAAAACAATTTTTGAAAATAAAGAATAGGATATCATGTTTCATTAGATTACATCAGGATTTGTTAAGAAACTGCATCTGTATTTATGTTGTTTGTACATTTGACCTTATTTATAATAACTGTTTATAATCTTTTCAGATCCTAGCTGTTTTTTAATTGTTTGCACTTTCCTCCTAGCATTTGTAATTTCCTTCAATTTTCCCTTCCCTTTTCAGTTCTGCTCAAATCTATCTGTTGGTGTAGTGCCCAGTGCCTAGCATGTTGGTTGCTTTCCCCAGGTTTGGTGGGCCTGTCCCCTGCTCTGAGATGCCACCCTCTTCCTCAGCGTGGTCACATTGGAGAATTACAGCAAGGCTGTGCCAGGCCTTCAAGTACTGCAGTGCAGTAATAAATCCCGAATGAATATGCTAGTTGATCAACCTAATAGGTGTTCTGTTTCCAAAGATATTTTTATTTTTTCTACCTTTTACTACACTTTTAAACTTCACATGTTTAAAAGCATAGAAAATGGAGTTTTGTTCTAGCTGTTTGTAGCCCTTTTGAACAGGGATTGAAAACGGAGCCAACTCTAATTGATGGGTAGTGGCTGATGACAGTGTATTTCTAGTTGAAATAATTATCATAACCCATTTTCTGTGTCTAAATTGTGCTGATTAAGCTTCTCAAATTTTAATAAAGCAGTCATTTCTCGAAATCCTCAGCATGTTCATGGAGATCAAATAATAAATGATCTTCATATTCCTTAAGATTTATGATAGTCATTAATATACTTATCACAAATCAGACATGTTATAAAGTGATATGGTCATAGAGCTCTTTCTTGCATTTGAGTATTAATCCTGGAAAATAGGAAGAGTAAAACAAATGATGGTTGAGTGTAGACTGTCTACTGGTTGCAAAACAGCTAAGTCATCACCCAGAATGCCCTGAGAGGATTTCAGAGGACTAGATAGCCATGTAAATAACATGATAATTTGGCTAAGTAACCAATAGTTATTCAACATACATAATTTCAGACACTCGTAAGCCCATAAAATTTCATGACAGTCATTGACAGACCATACTCTTGCTTTCTGTCTGGATGGACATGTACTGTGTCCTCTCCTTCTCACCCTACCTACTATATGTTCTTGTGTAGGTATGCATGGCTTTTCTCATTATTGTTAAATTTAGTACATACTCTGTAAGTTTTGTTTCTAGTTTAATCTCTTAATGGAGTCTAAGAACTTATTTGTCATTTTGAGTTGAAAATATTAATTACTTTTTTCATAATTTCAAATGCTTAGGACCAGAAGTGTTTTGGATTTTGAAATTGTTTGTATTTGAGTATATTTGCATATACATTATGAGATGTCTTCGGGATAGGACCCAATATAAATGTGAACTTCATTTATGTTTCATAAATAATTTATGCACATAGCCTAAGGTTAGATTATACACTGTATTTGTAGTGCCTGTTGTTTGACTACTGAAGTCAGGTATGGAACTTTGTACTTGTGGCCTCATGTTGGCACTCAGAAAATTTTTGGTTTTGGAGCTTATCATTTTGAGTTTTTGGGTTAGGGATACTCAGCCAGTTATAAAATTGTATCTATCTCAAAAATAATAAATCCATCACATTCTTGGGTTTTCATATACATAAGGCTTTTAATGTTGATCTAGAGTTACTGGCCACGGTAGCCTGATGTTTGAGTGAGTCATTTGTATCTGTTAATCATATTTAATTAATTTAATTTTGTAAGTGCAGTGTTTCTGAGTCTGTTCCAATCTCGTATTTTATTGTCAACAAACTCTCCTAGTATGAGAAAAAAAATTACCATGCAATCAGGGAACATGGCACCAGGCAGGCGTGGGATCTTTCTGTAAGATCCTAGTAAGTACAGAGAACTTACAGTAACAAAGGTTACTAGAAATGAAAAAAAGGGCAATAAAAAACCCCACAGGCTTTTGTATATGCTCGTCTTGTGAATTTGAACTGAAGACGATGTTTTGCTCTCTGATTGTCAATAGGCAGGGTTAGTGCGCGAGTGCAGCAGCTCACTTCAGCAAGACTTCCCCTCTCTCTGCCTTCTCATTGTTCACAGTGCTACTGAAAGCTAAAATGTTCATCTGTTGTAGTATTTTAAAATGAGTATACTTGTACTGTTATCAGATGAAAGTTACTGGGGAAACGGGGGAGATTCGTGGTTCACTCTTGAAAGATGAGTGTAACATAATAGGAAGAATATTGAGCCACTGAACAGGAGGATTGGTTTCAAGATCTATTTCTACAGTGGGATTTCAGGCATGCTCATTAAATGACTTCATTCTAATGACATATAAAGTGAAGTAAAAGTGCGCTTGAAAGAGAAAAATGATTTTCAATACAAGTAGAAGCTAACACACTTGAAACAGTAATACTTTAAGCATTTTTCAGATGAAAAGTTGTCAGACTGTGGGGAACCAATTATTATCTAAAAAGAAAAATGTTTTACTCAACATGATTTTTGTAAGATTCATTAAATACTTATCATGTGCCAATCACTGCCCTAGATGCGTAGCTTCTTATATATTAGGACCCCATTTTTATTTCCCAAGCATATCATTGAAGACAGACAGTCTTTTGTGTTACGTTTGGCAATGCTTCTTCGTCTCTGGATTATAGAACTTCTCACCTAAAGTGACTGAACTTTCTTTTGCGTCCATAATTTTGTAAGGGTAACATCTCCCTGTGAATGTCATGTGGAGGGTCTGAAGAGAATGGCTTTAGAGTGGAACCACCAGTAATTTTCTTGATCACCTTCCATTTTCCTGTGTGCATGTTGTTTATTTGTCTTATTTAAGGTCCTCTCTCTCAAAAAAGCAGACTTTAAAATAAGGAGTTGGAGATAAACAAACAATTAATTTCAGGAAGCATGAATCAGGCAGTAGGGAAATTGTGATAGTGCAGGGAGAAAGGGCATCACTGGTTGCCTAGGTTAGCAGTTTATTTTACTAAGCAACTGGAGCTCAGTCCTGCCAAGCACTCTGAGGATTACTCTATAGAATTACTCTAGGAGTGTTTTGCCACAATCCTTAGCTTCTTACACTGAGAATCATCCTTTCAGATGTTAAATGCAGTCCTTCAGGTTCCCCAATCAATTTTTCATGATGTCAGATCTCTGAAGCAGAGAAATAGAGGGACAAAGAGAGTTGAACTAGAAGCCATGAGATTCTGTAGTGAGTTTCTGTGGTAGCTAAGTAATTTAGAGTGGGGCTGGCAATGAGTAAATGTGGTTGGTCTGGCAGCACTGGATAAAGTCTTTGTCTTCAAATATGTGTAAAATTTAAGTTAATAGATTGTGGGTATGAAATTTTTACTGTGTTTCATGGATATTGCCAATTCATTTTTAATGAAAGAGGTTAACGATTGTTGACTACCATATGAAAACGAGGCAATAAAAATGGGAGATTAAGTGGTGAGATTTATTAAAAACTGTAATCTACTTTTCTTATATACTCGTAATTTTGAACTGTTATAGGAACCTTAAAAAATACACACTAAGATATTTATGCCTTCAGCTAAAGTTTAATAAATTGTTGCTATGGATTAACAGAACTGTAAGTGAACAACTTTTGTTATTAAGGAATCTTCATCCTACAAATTAATGTGCTATAGGAACACAGGAAAATGAGTGATTAATTGTCCTTAATAAGAGAAGGGGACACATACAAGTAGTATGTGCCATGCTTTTAACATTTTATTTATGTAGTAAACTCTTATGTGGGCAGAAACATGCTGCAACAAATACTGCACAACCTTTGGTGTTGGATCTGTATTTGAATGCAAATCCAGCATACTTGCTGATTATGCAAATTCCATAAGTTAAGACCTCAGCAGTCTGAAAAGCAGGAATTTTCAGTTTCTAAAGGTGATTCAGTAAGATGGATTATATGGTCGAGGCCCAGCCAGGAATTGAGTTCATGGTCACTTCTGTTCTCTTTACCATTTAGAAATTGCCTGGCATTTGTGCAAACTCGGAACATTCTGAAGTTAAGCCATCATCTTTGATTT